TTAATGAAAAATCTGATGAACTTGGTCATAATAATGATGAAGCTGAAATCAGCTGTGAACAGATGTGCAATGGTTCGGTATAAGATGAGTAAGTTTTACCTATTTCTGTGTCTCTTTGAAATTACATTGTGATATCTTTCATTACAGTGAGATTAAAGCTTTCTCTGAAAAAGTTGAGACCCACCCTAAGGTGTTTAATAATGAAGCCGACGAACTCGGTCAAGCTAATGACAAAACTGATCCCGGCTGTATAATGATTCAATCCTATAGGAAGAGGTCATGATTGGAAAATGGGCATAGAATTAATTCATCTCATTACAATGTACTCCATAATTTCACTGACGATATCGATACCCGCTCATCGCAAGATAAAATCAACACGGGATCCCTTCTTGTCATGACCTTATGGAAGAAGCTTCTTCTGATGATCCGGACATCTTATGAATGTAAAAAGTTAATTCTGTGAAAGATCCATTTTCCTTGTCAAACTGTACTGACCAAGACAAGACCATTCAGAGCTACTTAAGTGAACCCAGTACGCCTAAGAAGAAGAACAGTAAGTTCAACAAACCGAAGATTCCATCAGTTTTGACTTCTCGAAAACGCATAGAGCCCATAGATACTATACACACTTAGAAATACCTAATCTTACACGTGACGGAATCCATCTTTGACATAAAGGATGAGACGTAAACAAACATGTCATGTAAAATTAAGTGCTCCGAGACTAAAAAGTTCATTATTCGACGAAAAGTACGTTTGATTGAGCTGAACTTCACATCTGTTATGACTCAATGTTATGTCAAAATTGACGCTCGTATATGTCAGTCTCAGAGCACCTAAATTTACATCAATTTTTCTAAGTGTGTAGATTCCATAGATAAGCGAAGCAAAGTATAATGTAGCCAAACGAACTGTCAGTTAGTGTAGCCAAACGAGCATTGTAGTATACCATTCTCACATAGCTAACAAAACCCCAATCAATATGAACCATGCTAATAAATTATCCACTCCAGGCACCGAGCCATCGCTCGGGCAAGAATACAATTATGCAACTTTACACGACCCATATGTTTGTCACTCGTCACTAGAACTGCAGCGCTTCCTCGTCCTCTTCCACCCTTCCCGGGTGGGCCAAGGTTGTTCGCGCAGCACGAAAGGTTTCGAATGACAACGTCGGGCGCTCAACCAAAATATAACCATTATTTCCGATATTGCTAGGATGCGCATTTTTGGTGTCACTCCAGTCGTCTCACTCTTTTTCCCAAACGACTCTTTTCAACATTCATGAATCAATGTAACTAAAACTGCATTTCAATAAACAAAAAGATTCTTAGTCTGAAGCTTGACCCGACTTCACAGTTGGCTTATCGAATAACTTCACAAAATAAGAAGCTAGTATTCTCTTTGCGACCCTACTACTGGTTCTCCCAGCTAGGCTCGCTAAAGTTGAGAAAGTCCCGTATGTGACTCGGTATGTGCGCGTGTTAATCCTAAAACTCGATAAAGAAGTCTAGTGTTCGCGTGCACCAAATTGTAGGATATCCAAAGATATCAAAGCATGACGTCATCATGGTGTTGTTTGAGGGAGAAGTATTGTAATATTATGAGCACAAAACGCTTTCTACACTCCACAATCCGATTTATTTCGCGGACACCGGAAGAAGGAAAGATAAAGCAAACCATTCCTCGACTCACTGTTGCAAAGATTTGCTTTGCACTTCATTTTGAACTTTTACGCACGAAACAAAACAAAACTGCACAACGAAGAGCTCTATGATGGCATGAACTTTTTTCACGGAGGCCAGTAAGATCATGGTTGCCCTAACAACTTGTTGTGCCTCCGCTTATCTATGGAATCTATAGTATCTATAATAGAGCCTCATCAGAAGAGAGAACAAGACAAAGAAAAATCAGAGCAAGAGGAATTCCGAAAGGCTGAAAAAAAGCGCAAACAACGAGCAAAGCGAGCAGAAGACAAACAAATTGAAATGATCAAAAAATCCAAAGAGTGACTGCCACGTTTGAAGTATGGATTGCAAGAAATTAACAACATTAATAATTAACCTACACTTAGTTCAAATATTGTTTGAATATTCCACGATACTCAATGTTTATTGTCACCTCCCTTTCTTAAGCACAGCAAAGATAATTAAATAAGATCAAAATCAAAATAAGTTATTGTTTATTTCTGGGTTCAAGATATAAGATCGCATAGAATGATTAACCGTAACTAGACTATTTTAACAATATTATCGTTCTTGGAGATAGGACAGAACAAATTGATCATTTTGTCAATCTTCTGCATTCATGTTCCATCAGATGTCACTGCTGTTGTTTGCGGTGACATCTATCGGAAAGTACACACAATCTGTTTTCCTATAATTGTTCCCAGAGGACACTGCAGTGCAAAACATGTCTGGTACCTCTATTAATGCATTTAGATTATTATTCGAAGTCCCTCCTTTTTTACACATTCTGCACACAAAATAGCTCACCCCTCACAGAATTTCCCGCCGAATTTTATGCAGTATCTTTTGCGCAGAATATGTAAAAAAGGAGGGACTTCAAATTTTAAAGCAAATGCATATATACAGGTACCACACATAACGGCGCCGGTGGTGTAGTGGTAAGCGTGATTACCTCTCACCCCAGCAGGCCTGGGTTCAATCCCAGTCGGCGCCGCCGGGATGTTCTGAGGCATAACATCTCTGATCACGCCTTCCTTCGGATGGGAAGTAAAGCCGTTGGTCCCCGGTTCATGAGTTGATGGGTCGATAGGTAGGGTCCAGGTGTGGGAGCTGCCTTCCTGGCACGTCGGTAGCATTGGTGCTCAGCACGGAAAACAAGATCGACGGAAAAACAAACCAAAGAAAAAAAAAAAAGGTACCACACATGTTTTGTAGTGTCAGGTACTCTATTTTGTAATCTTTTTGGTGTTTTTAAACCCCCAACCCTCCCCCAGCGTAGACTATTGCCCATACAACTTTTATAAAAATTGAATGAAACGTAGACAACTGCAAACCCTCCCGCCCCCTAATCCGTCTACTTAATTTATAATCAGCGCCCAAATTGGACCGTCACTCTAGGGAACACTCATTGATTATGTCATGTAAGGAGGGGGGAGGGTTTTCGAAATCGTGACGATGCAAAATATAAAATTAAAGATCCCTACAAAAATACGTGAAAAAGAGTATAAATTAACAATCCTCGACCAAGAAGGAGGATTGCTGAAGCCACCACCATTGGTGGTGTCACCACTGTAGACTACAGTTTGTATGTTATGTTTATGTGTGCATTGACGTTAAAAAATCTTTTGTGAATAATCAATAATGAAACCTGAATTTTTCATTATCAGCTTGCCTAAATTAAAAATTAATATAATAAATATTTCATTTCTACATGTAAGCGCTTGTTGAACATTTATCACAATTATTTTTCCGCGCAACAAGTCCAACATCTATGTGGACGGAGCATAATTTCTCAATGTTTGCATCAGCTGTCTTAGATTGGCAGATAATCGAGCCAAGAACCAACAACTTTGGCTTCAAGCAAAATATTGGTGATGACGTTTCTGCCACCGGAGTGTAAATTAGGCCTTTTAAGCGTGACGTAATTGATGAAGTTATCTTCTTTGGCACCAAGTTGTATGTTCTAAACATCGAAAACAATGAATAACAACATACTTTAAATGCATAAACATGTTTGCATGAATTGTTTATCTCAGTGCTTAAGTTTCCTTTAGTGAACCCGGGTCCATTAAGCGTATAGTGGACAAGGGTTCACTTTAGCAAGAACGGGTCTATTATAGGGAAAATACACTACATTTTCAGACCAGTTTTATTAACCCAATTTACGTAGAAAGCAATCTTTTTTTCAAACAGTTGTCCGGCAGAAATGTTGAATATGATGACCAATTAAAAACTTATCACATTTATGTTGTTTAAATGAAAAAAATCACACACAAATACTTTTTATTCCAACCAGGTGGTCCTCACACTATGTCTGAAGGCACTTTTTTTACAACATTCATGTACCTCAGATTTTCCTTGACAGGATGTTAGTATTGATCCTAACAATCAAATCTGTGATGGTTTTAAAATATTTCATCTTGGGTTTTTTGAGAAAAAGTGTTTTGAAGTTTACAAATTCGATTATGAAGGCGTATATGGACTATTGGGGATGATGTAAAAGTATCATATTCTTTTCATCACCGCTGGCCATTGGCCAGCGGGGCAAACGACTGGGTAATGCGTACCACCAGTACCGCGAGTACTTGAAGGATAAAATAGACCCCATTAGTGGTCCATTAGCCTCTTACCCAGTAACTCCTATCCCTACCTCCTCGTGGTGTCTCCTGGGATATGAGCAACCTTAGCGAAGATCGGGTAACCAACCCCGGTGGGAGCTTTGGTCATATGCTGACAGGGAAGGGGGCCCCTAGCGGGTTCGGCCTACACGGCCTGAGCGTCTGTTCACCATGGAGGTGCGGCTCAAACAGCGTCTGACTGGCATCCAGCGGCTGAATAAGAAATGCTGTATTGTGTCAGCTAAATCTAAGATGGCAGCCCCATCTACACAATAACTGAGCGTCTGTCCACCATGGAGGTGCGGCTCAAACAGCGTCTGCCTGGCATCCAGCGGCTGAAACAAGAAATGCTTATCCCCGAAAGCTATACCCAAGATGGCAGCCCCATCACGGCGGATAGGAGACCTTAGGCTAACTACCTACTGTCCCCGAAACTTTACAACTGTTACAGAAACCAATAGAGAAAGATCACGGACTGATATTACGGCAACGACTTTTAGCGCAAAACAACGGACAAGAATTGGAACATGGAATGTACTAACGCTAGCCCAACAGGGGAAGCTGGCACAACTCGCCAGCGAGGCTCGACGCATGAAGCTCGAAATCCTGGGACTAAGCGAAGTCCGTTGGCCAAACTTTGGAGAACACAAGCTGCCGTCGGGACAGGTACTACTCTATTCTGGTATTCGAGGTGAAAACGCTCCCCGCCACCGTGGAGTTGGTTTCCTGCTTAGCGCCCAAGCAAATGCGGCGCTCATCAAGTGGGAACCTATCAATGAGAGGATAATCGTTGCCAGATTCAGAACGCGGGTTCGTAACCTAACCATAATCCAATGTTATGCGCCAACCGATGCTGCCGAGTTACAGGACAAAGAGAACTTTTACAGTCAACTGAATGCAGTCGTGGATAAAATTCCGAGAAGTGACATCAAGATCTACATCGGCGACTTCAATGCGAAGATCGGCTCCGACAACACGGATTATGAGCGTGTCATGGGGCGCCATGGTCTTGGCGAAATGAGCGAAAACGGTGAGCTGTTGGCAGAGTTTTGTGGCAATAACGACATGGTGATCGGGGGTTCGCTCTTCCCCCATCGACCAGTGCACAAAGTCACGTGGGTTTCCCGTGATGGACATACCGAAAATCAAATCGACCACATCTGCATCAGCCGAAAATGGAGAAGGAGCCTTCTTGACGTTCGGAACAAACGCAGTGCCGACATCGCGTCTGACCACCATCTCCTCGTTGGAGAGATCCGCCTTCGTATCGCGCGGGTCCAGCGGCGGGAGGAGCGGCTCGGACGGCGATTCAACACACGCCGATTGGAAGATCCAGCAGTAAAAAGGTCATTCGTCGAGGAACTGGAGACCAGAGCTGCGGATATTCCTGATGGTGGCAGCGTAGAAGAGCAATGGACGGCGATCAAGGATGCCTTTACTGAAACGAGTGAAAACAACCTGGGCGAGCTGCGCGCTCAGAGAAAGGAGTGGATCACGGATGACACCTGGAGGAAGATAGAGGAGCGGAGAAATGCAAAAGCCGCGATAGAGCGGGCGAGAACCAGAGGAGCGAAGAACCAGGCCCGCCAACTGTATTCGGCTCTCGAGAAGGAAGTGAAGCGCTCGTGTAGGCGGGATAAGCGAGCGTGGGTGGACTCCCTAGCCGATGAAGGTGAGAAAGCCGCAGCAACAGGCGATATCCGTCTCCTCTACGATATCTCACGACGCCTGAGTGGAGCAAGGATGAATCCTAGGATGCCAGTGAAGGACGCGACTGGTCAGTTGCTCACCGACCCCACTGATCAGCTGAAACGCTGGTTTGAACACTTCGAACAGCTTCTACAAGTTTCGTCGGTCAACCAGCCATCAACATCTCGGCATGAACCGCCAAGAGTGCGACGCATCACTCGCGTCAATTCTGAGGCGCCATCCCTACCGGAGATCGAAGCTGCTATCCGAACCATGAAATCCAACAAGGCTCCCGGGGTCGATCGCATATCAGCAGAGATGCTCAAAGCTGACCCCATGCTATCTGCACAAATGTTGCATCAACTATTCTGCAATATCTGGGACACCGCGACTTTTCCGGCTGACTGGATGCAGGGCGTCTTAGTGAAGGTCCCAAAGAAGGGGGACCCAACTGTATGCGATAACTGGCGTGGCATTATGTTACTGTGTTGTGTTCTCAAAGTTCTATGCAAAGTTATCCTCAACCGGATACAGGAGAAGATCGACGCGACTCTCCGACGGCAGCAGGCGGGATTCCGTGCTGGAAGATCCTGTGTGGACCATATTGTCTCGCTCCGCATAATCTTGGAGCAGGTCAACGAATTCCAAGAGTCCCTTTACTTGGTTTTCATTGACTACGAAAAAGCTTTCGACCGACTCAACCACGAAAACCTGTGGGGCGCCCTAAGGCGCAAGGGAGTTCCGGATAAAATCGTCAACCTCATCGAAGCTCAGTATGAGGCTTTCACGTGCAGGGTGCTGCACAACGGAGCCCTATCTGACCCTATTCGGGTAGTCGCTGGAGTGAGGCAAGGATGTATTCTATCACCGCTACTGTTCCTCATCGTTATCGACGAGATAATGGTTGGTGCGATCGACCGTGTGCCGAACCGTGGGTTGCTCTGGCAGCCTATTACAATGGAGCATCTAAACGACCTAGATTTGGCGGATGACGTTGCTTTAGTATCACAACGGCGTTCTGACATGCAGAGTAAGCTCGACGATCTCGCCGAACGCTCCTCAGCGGCAGGTCTCAACATCAACGTCAGCAAGACTAAATCGTTGGATATCAACACGGGAAATCCATCCAATTTTACGGTAGCTGGTCAGGAAGTGGAGAAGGTTGAAAGTTTCCAATATCTTGGCAGCCAGATAGCGTCGGACGGCGGAACCAAGAGTGACATAGGTGCACGGATCAAGAAGGCAAGGGCTGCTTTTGCGAGTTTACGAAACATCTGGAAGTCAAATCAGATTAGTCTCCGCACGAAGATCCGAATTTTCAACTCTAACGTGAAATCTGTACTGCTGTACGCTAGCGAAACATGGTGCGTATCAGCGGAGATCACACAGAAGCTGCAGGTGTTCATCAACCGATGCCTGCGGTATATAATTCGTGCTTGGTGGCCTCACAACTGGATTTCGAATGCCGAGCTCCATCGACGGTGTCACCAGAAGCCGATATCGACAGAAATTCGGGAACGTAAGTGGAGGTGGGTTGGCCACACTCTACGGAAGAGTGGAAATGAAATCTGCAAACAAGCGCTGGATTGGAATCCAGCCGGACATCGCAGCAGAGGCAGACCCAGGGGCTCATGGCGGCGAAGCCTAAACAAGGAGATTAAGCAAGTCGACCGGAATTTGACCTGGGCCCAGGTCAAGGCGAAAGCAAACAATCGCCCAGGATGGAGATCTTTCACGTTGGCCCTTTGCGCCAGGGATGGCGCTCAGGACACTTAAGTAAGTAAATATGGACTATTGACGATACAAAACTATTATGAATTGAACAAATGCAGTTAAACAAGATTCAAATGATGATTGAATTAATCTAAATGGCATTAAAGAGTTCTCTTTGACTCTCAAGTAAGATCCGTATTGATTATGTCGACTTTGACCAAAATCAATTAATAATTGTTGCTAGAACAACTTCTTAATTAATTTCTCTTCCCTCATAAAAGTAAAAGAGAAAGAAACGAGCAGGACAGTCTAAGGCAGCCACGTAATCATAGTAGGCATTGATTTTCGTCCAGTTTCGAATGTTTTTGTTTTTATTTGAGGTATCGTGCACATCTGGAAAAATTAAAAAAAAAACTTCATGAAGAAAATAGAGAGTTCACTTGTTGTGCTTCGAAAAAGCGACTCTGTAAAAAAAAAATCAAGCCACTTTAGCCGACGATGGTTGAAAGATTTTTACTCCATGGAGTTCAATAAAGGAGATTGTAGGTATCCGAAAGTTTTGTGTCCCGTACTCAGCAGGTGGTGAAGGTGGCATTTGCCACCAACTCATTCTGCGGGGTGGACAATTTGCTTGGATTTAAAACAAATAGATATGTTTGACTCAATGGCGAGATCGAAAATAAATTCTGGCAACCACGACAAATTGGTTTGAAAATCGTCTAACCGATAATACAGGAATGAAACTCACATGAGGTTAGTTACTCTTGCCCAGTGAGTTTAGGTAGTCCTAACCTTGAATTACTACATAATTGCTAGAGCTTTATTGCAATTCCCATATTTTGAATAAGAAAACAATTAGGAAGGTTCAGCGACTTTCTAGGAAAATCTGAGAACTATAGGGAACTGTAGTGAATTTTAGGAAAGTTCGGCAAACTATAAATAAGTTCCTCCAAAGAAGCAGAGAAATTCAACAACTTTCAGAGAAGTTCATTGAACTTCAGGAAAATTCTTCAAACTTTTAAGGTGTGCTTCGCTCTCCAGATCTGCCAACTTCAGGGACATTTTGTGAGCTTCAGGGGAGTTCAATGCCCTCCTGGTAAGTTCTACGAACTTCAAGAGAGTTCTGTGAACTATAGCAACATTATATGAATTTCAATGATGTTCTGCAAACAGTTCTTTGAACGTTAGGAAATGTTTGCAACCTTTAGGATGGTCTGTGAACCACAGAAAAATTTAATAACATTAGGAAAGTACTATGAATTTTAAAAAAAACGTCTGAGAATTTCAAGAAAAAAAAACAAGAACACCAAAGAACATCATGAAAGTTAGAAGAATTTCATCTAATTTCAACGAAATCAAGGACACACATATGAACAGGGATTTGAATTTGAATGTATAATATAAGCTGTCTCATCGGGTCGTTTGGTGTAACAACTACCACTCCATGTCTTAGAAAACAGGTATAATATATAATATAAATGAAAGTTTGCCACCTAAAAAAAATCGTGAGTACGGGTCACGCATGTTACATTGCCGTTTACCGGTATAAAAAAGGGAGCAGTTTATGAAAATTGAGCTTCATAAATATCCAGAAGACCAAAATCGACAGTCAAAGTTGTGCGGGTGTGTAGATGTTTGTAAGAAAAAAACACCACAGAAAAACAAAAACAAAAAATAAATTCATAAAAAATTTCAAATTATGTTGGACGCAGGTTTCAGAATTCAGACTTCAGAATCTCTCCAAATTGGCAGATGAAATTAAGCATCACTTTGTTGCCTAAAGCATTAGATAGTTAGCAGGCAAAAAACTAGTCTAGGTTAGTTTTTCAAACGTCACAGGAAGACCAATGCGTTTAAATTTGAAACAGTCAGGAAAAAAATCTAAGATTTCTCACGAAGATTTACTCAGCTTTAAGAAAGATCTTAATCTGAGTGTTAATAAGGTCAGTATGTAACAGTTATCTTTATAACTTTATATTTTACATGACTTTAAACTATACTTTTGTTATATTACAGACGCTAAAATTGGCTAAATTTATGAGACATACCGGCCGTCAAACTATCCAGTCCAGCCTCAAATCAGCTATGAGGAAAGACAACGCGGCCAAGAATGATCCCAATAACGCAATATGATGGCTGCCGCAAATGCGACTCAGCATACGCAATTTGGATTCGCTGGTCACCATTGTAGGTGCTTGATTAACGCCATTGCCTGATAATCGTGCAGTTTTTGAAGGATGAAATTTTAATCATCAGCTAATGAAAAACAACACATCGCTGATTTTTCGATATGTTGTGTAAAAAAGCCTAAATTTTTAAGGAAAAATATAAAAACATATTGCACCCTCTATCTACAAACCATGAAAACCATAATATACCATTGTATTCAATGTTTTCAAATATAAAATCCCAATATCATTATATTGCATCAT